TGATGTTCACCACTGCGCACCGTGCACACTCATTTTAGTCCCATTCGACCTAGGGGAGGCCCAGGACCGGGTCCCGATAACCGTCACCGGCGTTGGCCGTGAGCGCGGGAATCGAACTCGTGTCTCCGCCGGGTTCGGAGCGCGGCGTAGCGTCGATCGCCAAATCACCGCCCCCCCACCAACGCCGCCACCACCACCACCACCGCCACCACCGCCGTGAGTGAGCAGAAGTCGGAGGAGCACTTCCCAGTGCGGCGACCCCCCGACAACAGCGCCGGCATTAAGCAGAAGCAATTTGACAAATAAACAAGCGATTGGCCTTTCTACGATTTTTAGCGTCGCTACGTGGGTAATCCGAGCGTCGTTGGCGACAGACCGCTGTGTTCATCCGGTGTCGTCAAGGGAAATACATAACATCCACGTTTTGGTGACGGTGGCCGCGTGGGTCTCATGGGTTCTAGATCTGCGAATTTGTAGCGAACGGTTACTAGAATCGTAGACGATCCCCGGTACGAGATCCGTGAGTTTGTAGCGAGCGGTGGTTAGAATCGTAGGCAGTCCCCGGTTCTAGATCCGTGAGTTTGCAGCGGGCGGTGATTGGAATCGTAGACAATCCCCGGTACGAGATCCGTGAGTTTGTAGCGAGCGGTTACTAGAATCGTAGACAATCCCCGGTTCTAGATCCGTGAGTTTGCAGCGAGCGGTGATTTGAATCGTAGCCAATCCCCGGCACTAAATCCGTGAGGTCATTGGGAGCGGTGGATAGAATCGTAGGCAATCCCCGGTACGAGATCCGTGAGTTTGTAGCGGGCGGTGATTTGAATCATAGACAATCCCAGGTTCTAGATCCGTGAGTTTGTAGCGAGCGGTGGTTAGAATCGTAGACAATCCCAGGTTCTAGATCCGTGAGTTTGTAGCGAGCGGTGGTTAGAATCGTAGACAATCCCCGGTACTAGATCCGTGAGTTTGTAGCGAGCGGTGGCTGGAATCATAGACAATCCACGGTACGAGATCCGTGAGTTTGGAGCGTGCGGTGGCTGGAATCGTAGACAATCCACGGTACGAGATCCGTGAGTTTGTAGCGAGCGGTGATTGGAATCATAGACAATCCCAGGTTCTAGATCCGTGAGTTTGGAGCGAGCGGTTACTAGAATCATAGACAATCCACGGTACGAGATCCGTGAGGTCATTGGGAGCGGTGATTAGAATCGTAGACAATCTCCGGTACGAGATCCGTGAGTTTGTAGCAAGCGGTTACTAGAAGCGTAGACAATCCACGGCACTAGATCCGTGAGTTTGGAGCGAGCGGTGATTAGAATCGTAGACAATACCCGGTACGAGATCCGTGAGTTTATAGCGAGCGGTGGCTGGAATCATAGACAATCCCAGGTTCTAGATCCGTGAGTTTGTAGTGAGCGGTGGCTGGAATCGTAGCCAATCCCCGGTACGAGATCCGTGAGTTTGTAGCGGGCGGTGATTTGAATCATAGACAATCCCAGGTTCTAGATCCGTGAGTTTGGAGCGTGCGGTTACTAGAATCGTAGACAATCCACGGTACGAGATCCGTGAGATTGGAGCGTGCGGTGATTGGAATCATAGACAATCCCCGGTTCTAGATCCGTGAGGTTCGTAGTGAGCGGTGATTAGAATCGTAGACAATCCACGGTACGAGATCCGTGAGTTTGTAGCGAGCGGTGATTGGAATCGTAGACAATCCCCAGTACGAGATCCGTGAGTTTGTAGCGAGCGGTGATTGGAATCGTAGGCAGTCCCCGGTACTAGATCCGTGAGGTTCGTAGCGAGCAGTGATTAGAATCGTAGACAATCCACGGTACGAGATCCGTGAGGTCATTGGGAGCGGTGATTGGAATCGTAGACAATCCCCGGTACTAGATCCGTGAGTTTGTAGCGAGCAGTTACTAGAAGTGTAGACAATCCACGGCACTAGATCCGTGAGGTCGTAGCGAGCGGTGATTAGAATCGTAGACAGTCCCCGGTACCAGATCCGTGAGTTTGTAGCGAGCGGTGACTGGAATCGTAGACAATCTCCGGTACTAGATCCATGAGTTCGTAGCGAGCGGTGATTAGAATCGTAGACAATCTCCGGTACTAGATCCATGAGTTCGTAGCGAGCGGTGATTGGAATCGTAGGCAGTCCCCGGTACTAGATCCGTGAGTTTGTAGCGTGCGGTGATTGGAATCGTAGCCAGTCCCCGGTACTAGATCCATGAGTTTGTAGCGAGCGGTGATTGGAATCGTAGGCAGTCCCCGGTACTAGATCCGTGAGTTTGTAGCGAGCGGTGGTTAGAATCCTAGGCAGTCCACGGTACTAGATCCACGGGTTTTGGCGATCACGATCCACGGTTTGAAATCGTAGGCAGATCCCGGGAGAACTTGATGGCGGAGATCGTAACGTCGCCTTCCTCCGAAAATCCACCGTCGCCACCACCGTCGCCACCACCATCGCCACCACCGCCACCGCCATCGTCACCACCACCACCACCAACAGCGTCAAGCAGCCTGGCAGAATCCGTAGCCGGTGCAGCGTCGTAGATCCAAATCCGCCACTTTTTGGACTGCCACCTCCGCCCCCCCCGTTTCTCAAAGCTACCTCGGCGTGGTGGAGTGGGTGTGGTGTGGTGCGTGTGGTGCGTGTGGTGTGTGCGTGGTGTGTGTGTGCTTGCGTGCGTGTGCGTGTATGTGTGCGCGTGTGTGTGCGCGTGTGCGTGCGCGTCTGCGTGTGTGCCTGCGCGCGTACGTACGCACGCGTGTCGAGAAGAGATCAAAGTTCGGGGAACGGGAGGTGAGATTTAACATTTTTAAAGCCGTCGAGATGAGTCGTCGTCAACGTGCACAGAGGCCGCCACCCCCCCCACGAAGACACAAACAGCCGAACCACCACCACCCCCCCAGGCCTCAACAAGGTCGACAGAGAGCGAGAAGCTTTTAAAGTCTTCAGCTTCTCCCTCCCTCCACCCCCCTTGCGACCGCGGCTACCGATCCGCTGCATGCCGAAAACCGGTCACTCCTCTCCGTGGTGGTGGTGGTGGCACGATGCCCGCGCCAGCCAAAGCTCACAGCTGCTGCCGTGCCGACCACCACCACCACCACCGCCACCATCACCCACCATCACCACCACCATCACCACCACCATCACACCACCACCACCGCCACCATCACCGCAGCCGGGTTGGGTGGCCAGCACCACGCCCGGCCGCCTTTGTCTCCCCAGTGGCGATGTTTACTACACACCGCCGCACCAGGTGCTACTCATTTGAGGCCGAGTCGACCTAGGGGAGGCCCGGGACCGGTTCAGATAATCGTCACCGGTGGTGTTGGCCGTGAGCGGGAATCGAAGCGTAACGCTAAACGCACCACTACCACTCCCCACACGCACACAACAACAACAACCGCCATTCACCACTAAGTGGCGGTGACGTCACCACGACGCTTGTGCCAGGCCATGTGCACCTTGAGGCTGCCACGTGAAGTGTCGAACGCCAGCCGGCAAGAGGTCACGGGGCAGACCCGGCAGGTGCCACGGGTCGACTGACTTGAGATGACTGGCCGATGCACCACCTGTGCCCCCTACTGTGCCAACTCGCGGTGCTTTAGCCGCCCGGCGCTCCGCTCGTTGTTGTGAGCGACTGCCTCCCAAACTGCCCGGTAGCCTCAAGGTGCACCTAGTCTGGTACTGCCTAGTCAGCCTCCTCCTCCTCCTCCACAGAGGGCGATCCGTTGACCACTCATCTCCACATCCTCCTGGACCAACATGAGCCCTGACTCTTCTCTCGCTCACTCGTTAATCCATGCGTACATCAGCCCCACGAACCTGACAAGGCCAAGATGAACCCCTCACAGAAAACCCAAAGAGACTGCCAGACAGTCCCCGTCACGACCATCGTGAACCTCACCCACCCACACGGCCACCGTGAACCCCACCCACCCACACGGCCATCGTGAACCCCACCCACCCACACGTCCATCGTGAACCCCACCCACCCACACGGCCATCGTGAACCCCACCCACCCACACGGCCACCGTGAACCTCACCCTCCCACACGGCCACAGTGAACCCCACCCACCCACACGGCCACAGTGAACCCCACCCACCCACACGGCCATCGTGAACCCCACCCACCCACACGGCCACAGTGAACCCCACCCACCCACACGGCCGCCGTGAACCCCACCCACCCACACGTCCATCGTGAACCCCACCCACCCACACGGCAGCCGTGAACCTCACCCACCCACACGGCCGCCGTGAACCCCACCCACCCACACGGCCGCCGTGAACCTCACCCACCCACACGGCCACCGTGAACCCCACCCACCCACACGGCCGCCGTGAACCTCACCCACCCACACGGCCACCGTGAACCCCACCCACCCACACGGCCGCCGTGAACCTCACCCACCCACACGGCCACCGTGAACCCCACCCACCCACACGGCCGCCGTGAACCTCACCCACCCACACGGCCACCGTGAACCCCACCCACCCACACGGCCATCGTGAACCCCACCCACCCACACGGCCGCCGTGAACCCCACCCACCCACACGGCCATCGTGAACCCCACCCACCCACACGGCCATCGTGAACCCCACCCACCCACACGGCCGCCGTGAACCCCACCCACCCACACGGCCGCCGTGAACCCCACCCACCCACACGGCCGCCGTGAACCCCACCCACCCACACGGCCGCCGTGAACCCCACCCACCCACACGGCCGTCGTGAATTCGACCCTCGATCGATGGCTGCGCCATCGCCGCACACGCGTCGAAAATAAAAATCAAGGGACAACTCCTTACTTACTAACAACTCCTCTATCATGTTTCATTGCTGGAGGGGCTGCCCCCCCCCCCCCCACCTGAAAATCCTGGCTCCGATCGCGGGGCGAGCGAGCGAACGAGCGAGCGAACGAGCGAGCGAACGAGCGAGCGAGCGTGCCGGTCGTCGCGATGGTGGACTCAGAGGCAAAGATACTCACCCTTCAAGCCTCCTGTCGTATCTCCCGTCTCCCCGCGTGTGGTGCAAACCCGGCGCCGGGTAACCCGAAACATTCGCCCCGGCACCTCCGTCTCCGCTCATCGACGCGGCTCCCCCTCCTCCTCCTCCTCCTCCCCCCGTCGCCATCGCCCCGCCGATGCCGGACGACCCTCCGCGCCCTCCTGCCGCGCGACTCCCGCGTGCCGCCGCCGCCATCGCGGCCGCCGAGGGCGAGGAGAGCAGGAGGAGGAGGCCAGAGGAGGAGGCGGCGGCGCCGGCGCCGGCGTTGCCGCCCGGCTGCGCCGACGACGCCGAAGACGACGACGACGACGACGTCGTCGCCCCTCCCCCCGCCGCCCCGACAAGGCCGCCCACCCCTCCTCCGACGCCGCCGATGCCGACGCCGATGCCGGCGGCGGCTGCGGTGCAGGCGACGGCGGTGGCGCCAGGCTCGTTGTAGTCGGTGCGGAGCTCGCGCTCGCCCATCTGGTGCGACGCATCATGGGCCTTCTGCGCGCTCTTGATGTCCACAAAGTCGACGAACGCCGCCACGCCGCCGCCCTCAGAGCCGCGCCTGGGCAGGATCTTGACGCTCTCCACGCGGCCGTACCTGGAGGTGGGGGGGGGGGTGAGGTGGTGGTGAGGAGGCGGGGGGTAGTGAGGTGGTGGTGAGGTGGTGGGGGGGGGGAGGTGGTGAGGTGGAGGGGGTGGTGAGGTGGGGGGGGTGGTGAAGTGGTGGTGGTGAGGTGGGGCGGGGGGGTGGTGAGGTGGTGGTGGTGAGGCGGGGGGGTGAGGTGGTGGTGAGGTGGTGGTGGAGGTAGGTGGTGGTGAGGTAGGGGGGGGTGGTGGCGAGGTGGGGGGGGGTGGTGAGGAGGCGGGGGGGTAAAGTGGTGGTGAGGTGGTGGTGAGGTAGCGAGGAGGTGGTGGTGAGGTGGGGGGGGTGGTGAGGTGGGGGGGGTATGGAGAGGAGGTGGTGGTGGTGAGGAGGTGGCAAGGTGGTGGTGGTGAGAGGGAGGGGTGGCAGTGTTAGTCCAGAGAACGCCAAAAGGCACACAGCACAATGCCACCATCGCTGAGTGGCGAAAGGCGGGTGTTGTTATTGTGTGGGCGAGTGCTTGGAGTGGGTGAGGAATTGAGTGGGTGGTTGAGTGGGTGGGTGGTTGAGTGGGTGAGGAATTGAGTGGGTGGCTGAGTGGTTATGCAAGTGGGTGGGTGGTTGAGTGGGTGGGTGGTTGAGAGGGTGGGTGGTTGAGTGGGTGGGTAGTTGAGCGTGCGGGAAGTTGAGTGGGCTATTAATTGAGCGAGTGGGTGGCTGAGTGGGTATGCCAGTGGTTGAGTGGGTGGGTGGTTGAGCATGCGGGCATTTGAGTGGGCTAGTAATTGAGCGAGTGGGTGGCTGAGTGGGTATGCGAGTGGTTGAGTGGGTGGGTGGTTGAGTGGGTGGTCGAGTGGGTGGGTGGTTGAGCATGCGGGCATTTGAGTGGGCTAGTAATTGAGCGAGTGGGTGGCTGAGTGGGTATGCGAGTGGTTGAGTGGGTGGATGGTTGAGTGAGTGGTTGGTTGAGCGTGCGGGCATTTGAGTGGGCGAGTAATTGAGCGAGTGGGTGGCTGAGCGAAGCGTTCGACACTTCACGTGGCCTCAAAAGTCCGACCGGCACGGCACGATCGCCGTGGTGACGTCACCATCACGCGCACCCCGGTGAACACAACAAGTAAACCCGTAAAAACAAAGTTTTTCACTATAAATCCTTTATATGCGTGGCGGCTAGAGTCCTCTCGTCCTCTGGCTTGAGATGGCTGCCACCTATGGGTCAGATGATTGTCTGCCAGTATTAAGCAATTGGTAATTAAATATTTAATTTGTTTTCCCTAAACAGTGTAAAATTTTAGAATTTTTTTCACTAACATTAATTGTCACGCACAACGAGTCTGTGTGCAAAACGTCAGCTCGATTGGATCACGGGGAAGTGGGTTAAAAAACGACCGAAAGATTTGCACGGTCGTAAGCAAGCAAGCAAGCACGCAAGCAAGCACGCAAGCGAACTTAATATAAAGGATTTAAAAAGGGCTGCGTTTCGAATTCGGTTCAACAACAAAAACTAAACCCGATTTCAGACCGTTCTTACCCGTTGAAAACCGAACCGCAGAAAAAAAAAAACGAGCTCAAGTTTTTATTTAAAAATAGTTTTGTGACTCACTTCCACTCGTCACAAACCCCCTCGACATCGCCTCCGACTCCTCCCTCCCTCCCTCGACCGTCTAGTGTAGTGTATAGTGGTGTGGTGTATAGTAGTGTATAGTAGTGTGGTGTATAGTGTGGTGTATAGTAGTGTATAGTAGTGTGGTGTATAGTAGTGTGGTGTATAGTAGTGTGGTGTATAGTAGTGTATAGTAGTGTAGTGTATAGTAGTGTAGTGTATAGTAGTGTAGTGTATAGTAGTGGATAGTAAGTGTAGTGTATAGTAGTGTATGTATAGTAAGTGTATACGTAGTGTGGTGTATAGTAGTGGTAGAGAGTGTGGTGTATAGTTAAGCTGTATAGTATGTGGTGTATAGTAGTGGGGTATAGTAGTGTTGTGGATATATTAGGTATGTAGTAGGTAGATGTAGAGTAGTGAGTAGGTAGTGTAGTGTATAGTAGTGTATAGTAGTGTGGTGTATAGTAGTGTATAGTAGTGTGGTATAGTAGTGTGTATAGTAGTGTAGTGTATAGTAGTGTATAGTAGTGTATAGTAGTGTAGTGTATAGTAGTGTGGTGTATAGTAGTGTAGTGTATAGTGTAGTGTATAGTGTAGTGTATAGTAGAGTAGCGTATAGGAGTCCCAGGAACCGGTTCAGATAATGGTCACTGGTGTTGGCCGTGAGCGGGAATCGAACCCGGGTCGCCGGGTTCATAGCGCTAACCACTACACCCACCGCTCCCCATCTCACACACGCTCACACACCCACGTCACCCACCCACCCACCCTCCCCTCCTCCCACCCTCCCTCCCCTCCACGCTAACCCACAAACCCACAGCGCTGGCCTCCATTTTGCGATTCGCATTGCCACGTTCCCACACCCCCCCTCACCCCTCCCTCACCCCTCCCTCACCCCTCCCACACCCCCCCTCACCCCCTCCCTTACCCCCCCTCACCCCCTCCCTTACCCCCCTCACCCTCCCCTCACCCTCCCCTTGCCCTCTCTTCAAGGTTACACAGATTATGCGTTGACGCTGCTGCTGCTGCTGAGTTTGCAAACAGCTGCACAGTCGAATGCAATGCGGAAGATTTCCTCATCCTCCTCCTACACGACACGTCCCACATCCAGAGGTCGCAACCGGGTACCCGATACCCGTACCCTACCCTATACCCGTACCCTACCTTATACCCTATACCCTACCCGATACCCTACCCTACCCGATACCCGTACCCGATACCCGTACCCTACCCTACCTTATACCCTATACCCTACCCGATACCCTACCCGATACCCGTACCCTACCCGATACCCGTACCCTACCCGATACCCCTACCCTACCCTATACCCCTACCCTACCCGATACCCTACCCGTACCCTACCCTACCTTATACCCTATACCCTACCCGATACCCATACCCGATACCCGTACTCGATACCCGTACCCTACCCTATACCCGATACCCTACCCGATACCCGTACCCTACCCTATACCCGTACCCTACCCTATACCCTACCCGATACCCGTACCCTACCTGATACCCGTACCCTACCAGATACCCATACCCTACCCGATACCCGTACCCTACCCGATACCCGTATCCTACCCTATACCCATACCCTACCCGATACCCGTACCCTACTCGATACCCGTACCCTACCCGATACCCTACCCGTACCTTACCCGATACCCTTCCCTACCCGATACCCGTACCCTTCCCGATACCCGTACCCTACCCGATACCCGGCTACCCGTACCCGGCCGGGTACGGCTAGACCGTGAGTCACTGGTGAGTCACCGTTTGTCACTCATTTCCCAACGTCTTGTCTCTTCTCACAATTCAAGTTCCTAGAATCAACCCACCCGCGCCTGCAACATGGCTTCATCCCAGAGGTCGCAATCGGGTACCCGATACCCGTACTCTACCCGTACCCGGCCGGGTACGGGTAGGGTACGGCCGGGTACGGGTAAAGAATCAAAACCCGTTTGCGACCTCTGCCCAAGTGACA